TGTGCACCCTATATCCATCCTGTGGATGGTAGCGCACTAACATACGGGTACACAAAAGGCCTAGGAACTAGGCCCCATATCTGCAGTTCACTTATATGTTACAAGTATCTTATTTTCATTAATAAGATATCTTGACATAACATAGGTTATTATACTGTCATTTTCCATATTCCTCAATAAGTGGACAATTAAGCATATAGTGTTCAAGATAGTGACCATAGGTCCATTCCTTATTTTTGCTCTGGTTTTGTGCACCCCCTTCCTCCCTAATTAAGAACAGCTGCTATAGAGAATACGCAGGACATGTGGGAATACTGTATATATCAGGAGTAACGTAGGACAAGTACAGGTGAAGTGCACATGAACATCTGAAGAAATTAAGTTCAAAAAGTTTGCAGAACTCGAGAAATTTGGCAAGCTCCTTGTGTCTGGAGCTTCCCAGATCTACCTCAGCCAAACTCCTCTGTTTTTATGTCTCTTCTCTCTGAGCTAGATCTGCCTTCTAAATTTAGTGTGCTGAAAACCTTGCTTCAGAAGTCAGTGTGACATCTTCCAAACAACCAGGCTACAGCATTAGGAAGCAATTTCTGTGATGTCATTGAGAGGACTACACCGGAGCACATAACATAGTCACCACTGCCAATGTTCATTGGGGGTTTATGCTCAACAATATACTCTTGACACTGCTCCAACAACTGTTGAAAGGGCAGTGGTAATGCAGAGATGAGCTTCATTCTACACCATGGACACATTCACATAGTTCCAGGGTAGTTTTCAGCAGTCCAGACCCCTAGCCAATTTCTTGTTCCTATAGATACTATCTACACAACCAAGGAATTAGTAAGCAGACTCGAGGACATAAACAATATTGTCACCACTATGTGTGTTCTTATCTCCATGGGGAAATGAAGAATCCTTCCTCTGTAAGCCATGAATGTCATAAGAGGCAACTAAAATGCTATGAGCAAGGGGCTAGTGTTACAAAAAGCGCGATTTCTAATAAGCTTAGAGATCGCCAGTGAATACTAGAAAGGACTGCCCTTCTAGCATCCAGCCTGTTACTGGGTTTTCGTAACAATTAGTCAGTATCCTGGTCCAATTATCCAATGGAATTCAATAAGAATTATTAGTGCTTCAGGATTACAACTGGTAGGCTACTAACTAGAGAAATTAAAATTTAATAAACTTATTAACAATCAAGATGTCTAGAGTATATTATCAAATATAGGGTAAAAGGGTTTCATTTCCCTTTTTAAAAAAAAGGGGACAAAAAAGGGCAAAAATTATGGGGGGGAAAATCTTTTTCCCTTTAAAATTTGGGGTGGTTTTTTAAAAATTTAAAATAAGAGGGGAAAAGAATACTAAAAAGGATTTTTGGGGAAAGGAAAGGGGGGGTCCCAGGTTTACAGTAAAACTTAAATGAACATTTTAGAAAGGGCAAAAGTTTTGGGGCAAGGATTGGGGTTTTTGGGGGGGTCGTTTATTTTTTTTCTTGGGGGGGTTTTTCGGGGATTGGGCCCCAAGTTTGGTTGGGGGGGTTTTTCCCGTAAAAACCTTTAGCAAAATTCCCGGGGTTTTTTTTTTTTTGGGGGGGGTTGAAGAAAAGAAATAGGGTTTTGGAAACGGGGGTTAAAAGTGAACCCAAAAACAAAGGGGACCACCCTTTTTGGAGCACTTTGTCTTGGGAGACTAAGGAATTTTAAATTTATGAATTTTGGGGGGGGTTTTGGGCAAAAAAAAAATTTAAATGTCAAAAAAAAGTGATTGGGAAAACAAATAGGGAGAAATTTAAAATTTGGAAAATTAAAGGGGTTTCAGTTTTTTGGGAGTGGACTTAGCTTTTGGGTTCTAAAAAATATAATCTAAAAAGGGGGAAAAAATAGTAAAAAAAAAAATTTTTCTCGAGGGGAATAAAAATATTTTAAAAACCCAAAATGGGTGTGCTTTAATTTCCAAAAAAAGGGGGAAAATTCTCTGGGGGGAAATGGGGGTTTTTAAAATGAAAAACTAAAATTAGGGGAAGGGGGCCCAAAGTTTTCCAAAAGGGGGATTTCAATAAGAAAAAGGACGCAGAATACTAAAATGATCCCTTTGGGGGGCATCGGCCTGAATTGGGGGGGGAAAATTTTTGGTCGGGGGATTCCTTCCAGTTCAGGGTTTTATAGATAAAACAAATTTTTTTTAAATTTGGGGCTTATTGGAGAAAAAAAAATTTTAAATAAATTAAAACCCGGGGGGATTTCCCTAAGGGAAGTAATTATCAAATTTAAAATTAATTTTAAAAAAATTAAAAAACACCTTCGGCAAACATGAGGGGAGGAATATTAAATTTTTCTTTTTTGGGCCCCCCGTTTGGGCCCAAAAAAAAAAAAATTAAAATAAAAAAAATAAAAAACAAAAAAGTTTGTTTGTAGGTTAATGCTCTAAGTAGTTCGCATGTCTCACGACCTAACTAATTTTAAACCAATCTGACAAAATCCTCACATCAACTAACTTCCTTGACCACCTGGCAACAAACAGCTTGCTTTGAACAAAAAAACTTTGCTAAGCCAAACTATTAACACAACGCGACACGAATCAATCGGGGAAAAAATAACACACTAAGTAGGGACCACTCAATCCTCAAAAAAGCCCCAACCTCCCATACACTGAATCAAAGTTCAGCATAAAAAAATCCCCAACTGTGACAGTACACAGATCCATACAAATTATCAGAAGCTACAGCTCGGGCCCCGAGTTCTCAATTTCCCAGCGCACACTACCTCATACAACGTCGAAAATCACAAAGTCAACATGTTCGGTGAAAAAATTTCTACAGAACCAACAACAAGAAAGCGCAGAGACATTTTCAACAAGGGCCCACAAAGAGGGGAGTGTGGGCATCTTGCCATAATTTCCCCCAACCACCAAAGACCCTAGAACTAAAACTACTTCGGGGCAAGGTGTGAAAAACCCCCCCTCGATCACGAATTTGCCCGGGACATTGCTCCCCAACACCAAAGCCGCAGGTAACGGCCACGAGGATAAAAACAGTATTAACAATCAAACTTAACATGGCACATAATATAGATGTTTACGTCCTCCAAACAATAAACAAAGGTCAAATAAAAATATAAAGCAATATATTTCGATTTTAGCTATTTTTGCAAATTACAATATAAAATTTATATGAAAAGGTAATTTTACATTATATATATTGTGCCCTTTTCGGGGGTTTCCCCAACAGCTAGTTCTCCTTCTATATAAATTACAAATGAAAAAGCGAACACTAAGTATTTTTTTTTTTTTTTTCCCGCCCACCCTGCCCGGGGGGAGACTTTTTGGGTGTATTAAAAAAAAAAAAAAAAAGTTTTCTTTTTAGGATTAACGAACCTCGCACACTGGCCCAAAAACCATTTTAAGGACATTGTCAAACCTGAGGGCATTGGTAACACTTTTAAAATTTTACTGCGAACCCACCTATAGAACAGGGGATTAAGGAATTTCACCTTTACCAAATTCCCACATTGGGCAAACTCATCAAACCCAACATTCCAGGTCACCCCCACTTCCACTGTATTCCTCACCGCCTTTTTATTCCCTTTGTCCAATGTATTTTTTATATAAAGTTTAAAAAAAATATCACAGATGAAATTTGTTTTATAAATATTCAAAAACCCCCGTTCTAAAGTGATTTTTCAGGAAAAAATTAGAAAGAAAAACATTTTGAGAAGAAAAATAAGCAATAATAATTCATTCTCTCTTACAATTTATTTACATTTCTATGTTTAGGTCCCATAACTTGCCCATATAAACCAAAGTATTGTTTTAAAAAACTTATTATAATCATAACCAAAGCTAAACACGTAAAGGCATATGTTAAACAGCACGCTCAAACAAGAAGTGGTGTCTGAATTGCCTTCCCGTCATAATTTCTTAATTCCTACTTTGTTAAATATTTAATATCAGAAAGTTAAGAGTTAGGTCCTCATAGTTAATAAATATCTAAATGTTTCCCTGAAACTTAACACTAAATATGCTTTAAAAGCTATAGCACTTTTAATTTCTTTTCTAGCACCATCCCTGAACCCTTGGTCTCTGTTAGCATTAAATTCACAATATTTAAACCTATAATCTAGGAAGGTTTTTCCCCACTATATACCCTTTTTGATTATTTCGTCTTGTTTTTGGCATATTTTCCCTTTTCATCCCTTTAAAAAGCACTTTCTGACCAGTGATTGTTTGAATGAGGAGTCTACTCAAACGAAAATTTTTCATTTAAATGATTTTGATATTGGGTCAGGAAATTTTTACTATTCTTTTTTTAGCTCTTACTCGTTCTTTATCCTTACTTAAAATTTTGTTTCACATTTTCTTAAAATCCTGAAAATTGAAGTACCAATTTTTTTTTAAAAAAAGTTTTAGATATTAATTTTATTTCATATTTTCCCGCACGGATCCCAAAAATTTCTTTAAGGTTCAGCCAGCCCAAGTATAGCAAATGGAAATACGGAATGGCGGGGACCAGGTTGGGGGGAGGACCAATGTCATACCTAAGAGAGCAAGTTACATGCATTGAGAAGTCTAGGAAAAGGGGAAGTGGCATCTAATGCACAGAGAGAAAGTTTTTTACTACCCAGCAGAAAATCAGAAATGGTACATTTCTTCATGTTTCCATATTAGTTTTAATTAGTAAATCTCGTGAGATGTAATATAAGATAATTGCAGGGAAAGGGATATTTTGATTGGGGAAGATAAAAAACTCCTTGTAAAAGATTTTCAGCTGACTAAGCCCTTTTTTGTGATGGCCCAACATAACATTAATTTTTAGGGTTTTTGCAAGAGCTTTAGAAATTTTAACTTGCAGAAATATACAAGTTTATTGCATAGGTATATTCCTTTCTTATTGATACAGCCTCTCCATTATAGCATGCTATAATGGTAGTGGGTTTGTGTCAGCCATCTTTCATATTGTTTTGGTGTGTCTTTTGCATCATTTATAACATTTTAGTATATTTTAATTGTTTATACTGTAGTGTACTCTATATTGTAATAAACAGAATGAAGGAAATCGGCTCTAATGCACATTATTTAGGTATTCATACTGGTCAGAGAGCCTGTTGTAAGTCAGAGTCATAAGTAAACGAGTACATCACTAAGTGAGGAGAGGCTGCATATGGTATTAAAAAACCTATCACTTACAGGAAAGAGATTTATAAATATTCTAAAAATGTTCATGTTACAGGGAGGGGAACTCTCTCTGATATTAAACACGCCTACTGCTGTCCGCCCCAAAGTTTTAAGACAAAACAGCAGCAACTTCAACATGGTTCTGCAGGAGTATCATGTTGGTCATCATGGTCATTCTCATCATGGACACTCTCATGTTACAGGTGTGGTGGCCATTTTTCAAATTGATAACTTTGAGAAACAAAGCAGATCCAGTAAAGTGTTTTGGGAATGATTATTTTACAGTACAAATTAAGTGCAGGAAAATGGTCATTTATGTACTATGTCTTATTTAGGTCATCCGCCTTGGCAGGAAACATCCATCTAGTTAAATTAATGAACTTAAAAGAGAAAATTTAAGCATAATACACATGCATCAAATTGTCCTATACAGAATAAAAATGCATTTAATCAAAATCAACTTAAAAAATTCAATCTGAAATACAGTGAAGTACTGCCTTGAAGAGTGTAAGCAAGTGCAGGCAAAGATTCAATAACTTAAATTAATGCTATAGTAGAGTTAAATTATTATTTCTCATGTCTGCAGTTATTCAGCTTAATTTGTATACCATCAGTTCTTATGAAGTTACTCTGTATAGTGCAGTTTTTCTTAAATACAATTGCAAAAGTACATTCAAAGCTGAATAGTGCATGGAGAGACCTTCATGGTATGTGCTATTGGGTTTTTGAAAGGTTTTGCAATGTAGAGAAGCTTTATAAAAGACCTAACTAATAGGACTAGGCAAATTGGGATAAGTATTATGAAGATATTTGTTATTTTTTGGAATTTTTACTGTCAAAGAAACAATTTGTGGTTTTAAATTACGAAAACATTGACATTGCTTCATTCTAGATTTGAATGTAAAACTAGTAGACTAAAAAATAAACAATATTGTGTATGTCTTGATTAAATTGCAAAATATCTTAATTAAATTTACCAAAACCCTTCTACATAGTTTGTCTTGTATTTAGGTCGTAAGGATTCTCTGCGGGCCATGATATTAGTAGGTGATGCTTTACATACATTTTTGGATGGAATGGCCATTGGAGCAGCTTTTGGAACCAGTGTTACTGGTGGAGTAGCAACTTCAATTGCTGTCCTATGTCATGAGCTTCCACATAAAGTTGGTGAGTATTAGTAATGACATACTTAGTCTTGAAGGTATAGCATATCTCCTGAAAATACTCCACTTGAAAAATCATGCAGGTGCCATGCATATTTGAAATTTGTGTCTACTCTCATAATATCTACATAATATATACATATATTGGAGGTAGTAGATTGGCAGACAGCAACTGCCCAGGGAGGTACTACTATCCTGCCAAGTGAGTGTGAAATGGAAATCCATAATTGTTTTACATGATGGTAGGATTGCTGGTGTCCATTTTTCTGTCTCATAAACATGCAAGGTTTCAGGTAGGTCTTGCTACTTCTACTTACACTTAGGTCACACTACACATACATGTACAAGCGTATATATACATACCCCTCTGGGTTTTCTTCTGTTTTCTTTCTAGTTCTTGTTCTTGTTTATTTCCTCTTATATCCATGGGGAAGTGGAACAGAATTCTTCCTCCGTAAGCCATGTGTGTTGTAAGAGGCGACTAAAATGCCGGGAGCAAGGGGCTAGTAACCCCTTCTCCCGTATAAATTACTAAATTTAAAAGAGAAGCTTTCGTTTTTTGTTTTGGGCCACCCCGCCTTGGTGGGATACGGCCAGTGTGTTGAAAGAAAGAAAGATGGTAGGATTGCTGGTGTCTTCTTTCTGTCTCAAACAAGCAGGGTTTTAGGTACGTCTTGCTACTTCTACTTATATTTAGGTCACACTACACATGCATGTTTTTTTTTTTTTTTTTTTTTTCAACAAGTCGGCCGTCTCCCACCGAGGCAGGGTGACCCAAAAAAGAAAGAAAATCCCCAAAAAGAAAATACTTTCATCATCATTCAACACTTTCACCACACTCACACATTATCACTGCTTTTGCAGAGGTGCCCAGAATACAACAGTTTAGAAGCATATACGTATAAAGATACACAACATATCCCTCCAAACTGCCAATATCCCAAACCACTCCTTTAAAGTGCAGGCATTGTACTTCCCATTTCCAGGACTCAAGTCCAACTATATGAAAATAACCGGTTTTCCCTGAAATCCCTTCACTAAATATTACCCTGCTCACACTCCAACAGATCGTCAGGTCCCAAGTACCATTCGTCTCCATTCACTCCTATCTAACACGCTCACGCACGCTTGCGGGGAGTCCAAGCCCCTTCCCCAAAAAAACCTCCTTTACCCCCCTCTCCAACCCCTTTCGAGGACGCCCCCCTCCCCCTCCTTTTCCCCCTAAATTTATATGCTTTCCCATGCCCATTCTATTTTTGATCCATTCTCTTAAATGCCAAACCCCCTCAACAACCCCTCTTCCCCCTTGAAAATATTTTTTTTAACCCCAACCTTCCCCAAATTTTCCAACCCCAAATTTTTGCAATATTTACACCCACATTCCCCTTAAACAGGAATCTCACTGCCCCCAAAACCGTCCCCTCGCTGCTGATTTCCCACCCAATTTACACCCATATAAGAGGTTGGCTACTTACTTTCATAATTCCCTTCTTTGCCCCCATAGATAATTTTTTGACCCCACATATCCCTCAAGCACCACTCCCCTTTTTTTCCCCTCATAAATTCTATGTTTAACCTCATCCTCATAAATCCACCCCCGCCCCGTCAACCCCAATATCTGAAAAATCACTTTCCATATCCTCCTCCCCAATTTTTTTAAAATTTTTTTTTATCTAAATATTGCCCCCTCATCACCTTACTCTTTTCTATTTTTCACTTTCAACTTTTCCCTTTACACACACCCCCAAAATCATCCAAACCCTTTGCATTTTTTTTTTAGAATCTCCCTAAGCCGTATCATCAGCAAAAGTAAGTGTCTTTTCCCATTTTGATTTGTTTCCCCAAAATTTTAAACCCCACCCCTCCCCCAAAACCCTAGCTTTTATTTCCCTTTTAAAACCCCCATCTATAAATATATTAAAAAAACCATGGTGCATTAACATCCCTGTCAAAGACCTCTTTTACCGGGAAGTATTCTCCTTTTCTACCACCCAAACCTGAGCCCCATATCTCATAAAAAACTCTTTACGCATTTAATAATTACCACCTTTCCATATACTTGCAACATCCCCATTGTCCTCTATCCCCTCTATATATGCCTTTTCTAAACCATAAAGCAAAAAAAAAATTTCCCTACCTTTATCAAAAATACTGTTCCATATATTTTAAATGTAAACACTTGACTACAACCCCCTCCCCACTTGAAGCCTCCTTGCTCGTCCGCAATTCTCTTTCTGTTTTACTCTAATTCTTTAAATTAAAACCCTACCGTTATTTTTCCTGGTATACTCGTAAGTTATTCCTCTAAAATTTTTACAGTCTCTTTGCCCCCTTTCCCTTATAAAAAAGGGACTAAAACATGCTCTCTCCCAATCCCTGGGGCCCTTCCCCCTTTTCATACATTTTATTAAAAAAAAAGTACCAACCATCCAACACTATATCCCCCCTGTTTTTAACATTTTTCAGACCCCACATTCCGCTGCTTTACCCCCTTTTTTTTTACGTAATCCCTCATTTCCCCTCCCCCACCTTTAAATTCTGCTCTTCTTCACTCCAAAAAGAGGATCCCTCCCTGCCCAGTGCATAAATTTTCTGCCTCTGTTTTTTCCCTTTAAAACATTTAAAAATTTCCCTCAAAATATTCCGCCATTCCCCAATATCCATCCCCCATTACTAACTCCCTATCTTTTTTTAACAAAAAAATCCTTTTTTCCCCTAGGTTTCTTAACTGTTTTAACTCACTCCAAAATTTTTTTTTTTTTTTTTTCATTAAAATTTCTTGACGTCCCTCTCCCACTCTATCATCTGCTTCCTTTTGCACTCTTCACCACTCTTTTTACCTTCTTTTACTCTCCAATACTCTGCCTTTTTATAAATTCTGCTTTGTAAAACCTCTCTAAGCTCCTTTTTCTTTTTACAACCCTTTATTTCATCATTACCCCAACCCCCCTCTTTCCCCCCGCCCCCCCTCCTAAAACCAAAAAATTTGCCCACATTCTAATCTGCATTTTTAAAAAACTTTTCCCAACCCTTTTTTCCCCCCCCCACTATCATCTTTGCAAGCCTCCCGTTTCCCAATAGTCGTTTATATCTCACCCGAACTTCCCCCCCCTTATTTTATCACTTTCCCTCCCCTTATTGTTGTTCCCACTTCCCTCTTTTCCCATCTACCTCTTACTCAAATGTAGCTAAAAATAAATAATGACCCGATATATCAGTTTGCCCCTTTAAAAACTTTACACCCGGAGCCCCCCATCAACCTTTTTATCCCCAATCAAAATTAAAATTAAACTATTTCTTCGTGTACATCATCCCTTTGATATTTATTTTTCTTTCATAAAATTGATACTTTTTACCAAATTTTTTCTACACATAGCTCAATTAAAGGCCCCTTTTACTTTTTCCCCCCTGGCACCCCAAATTTACTACTACCCCCCTCCATAACATTTTTACCCCCTTTTGCTTGAAACCCCCAAACCACCATTACTCTCCCCTTGATTCAAAATCCCCCCCAATTCCTCAACATTCCCAAATCTCTCTCTCTCCTCTAATTTCTCTTTTCCCCGGTGCATACCTTTTATTTAACCCCCTTTCAACCAACTTATTTTACTAAAATAATCCTTGTTTTAATACATTTATGCCCCTTTTTTTCCGCCATAGCTTACCCTTCAACTTATTGTACTCCTTCTTTACATAATATATACACAAACCCCTTGGGTTTGCTTTATTTTTTTACTAGTTCTTGTTCTTTTTTATTTCCGCTTACTCCGTTTATCGCCTGCGTGTCTCAGGATAAAATGCTGGGGAGGGGGACGATTAATCCTTGCCCTGTTAATTTCAAATTTAAAAAAAAATCTCATTTTTTTTTTTTTTTTTTTTAAGTTTGTTTTTTTTTTTAGGTCACCATGCCTTGGTGGTACCATAAAAAATTTCATATGTTTGTGTGCCAGGAGCATTTTTCACCACTTTGATCCCAAATCAAGAAAAACCATAGTACAAAACCCCCCAACCCTCCGTGGCTGAGTGACAGACCATTTCACTGGACTTGCTACAGGCTTAGTTGACATGGGGACAGGTGGGAGTACAGTGCCGCATTTGAAGAAAGGGTAGAATATTTGCAGATTGGGGGGCACTGAACTAAATTATCACTCCCTTGGCGGTAGTGTAGTGAATGATGGTAAAAAGTATTTTTTTTTTTGGGGCAGTGTGTTTTCCACCAAAAACCCAACGTCCCAAAAAAAGGACCACTGAAAAAAAGGAGGGGGTTGGGGACAAGTCCCCTCGTGCTTTCCCCAGTCTTTTGCGATCATTTATCACATAAAATTTATTGCCAATAAAGGGCGGAAAACATGGGTTGTGTGTGATGGTAGTGAGCTAAAAATGTGGATTCATACCAGATAGGTGACCCATGGTTGGGTCGATCACTAATTTCCACGTACCCAAATTTTTCCCCCTTTCGTGCCCCTTTTAGAGAGATACCCACAAGTATGTAAGGTCTTTGCATCATCCAGGGGCAACGTGCAACAATGACCGATTGGAAAACAACCCTTTTCCCTTGGGCTTATTTTGGTTAATTTAGGGCATATGCACATCCCCAAAAATTTGGCATAACTACAGGGGGCCCCCCAGTTAACGATATTTTTCACTCCAAAGTAGTTCAGGTGCCATACGACCGAATTTGTTCCCAAAAGGAAATTGTGGTAGTTGCCATTTCGCCCCCAAACATACACGTACAACGCCTTGCATAAATACCTTACAAATGGTTTCGGAGGTATCGTTATGGGGGGGTTCACTGTATTGTATTCTCTATATTTCTCCGTACGTGTCCTTGATTGCAAGTCCCCCAACTGAAGTGTTTTCAGATTTACGAGCCTCGTTTTGTCGATTTTTTTCTTTGAGTTGTGAGACAAAATCCAAGTTTGACGGTTCAGGTATGCACCATTCGCAGGAGGGGGAAAAATATCAAAAACTTTTTTCAATTTTTTGATACCAGGGTGGTCCCCT